TCATCATCTTCACCCGACTCGCTGCCCATGCGAAACGAACCCGCAGGAACATGAACCATGCCAGATGGCACGTTCACATGCTCACATAAAGCCCTTGTCATCGAGATCAACGTCTTACCCGCTGGACATACACACTCGTCACCGCTCACCACCAACTCACCAGGGCATGCCGTGGGCTTGCCCACGCACTTGCTAGCCCAACCCTGACCCGGCCAGCAGCAGTTGTTTTGCGTATCCTGGCTACGCACCTTCCCTGCCGCGCATTCTTTGGGAGCCGTGTCGCGCTTGCAGCTCCCTGCTTCACAGGCGAGCCCGGCGTCGCAGGTGGTGCTGTCGTCACACTTGCCGCCCTCGCTCCCAGTCGATGGTTTCTTCGGCTCGCGCACCTTCTTGACTTTTTTGACCTTCTTCTTCCCACAAGCTTTCCTCGTGGGTGCGTGACCACCAATACATGGCTCCTCCACGCTCGCAACGCCAAGACACCCTGATAAAAACAGCGAGAGACCGCTCACCATAAGATAATTTCTGGTCATCTATTCTCCCCTCGCAGGTTGTTCTCTCGATATCAGTTCCATAAGCGCTTCAACTGACTGATACTGAAAATTTATTGCACGCTCATACAATAGGTTTGCGAGGAGCACCTGTATCCGGCACGACAATCTTCATCCGAGAGGCATTCAGAACATATCTTGCCGTTGTCTGCTTCTCGGCACTGGACGTTGCTCACATCCAAGAACGGAGTGCTGTCGCCAGCTCCGTCAAAGTTGCAATCGTCGCTGTCTCTGCATTCGTCTACAGGTTCCCGATTACCTGTAGGCTGGCTGTTCGTCGTTTGCTCTGTGTTTGGATCGCTGTTTTCCGAGGATTCTTCCCCACCACACCCAAAACACCACAAAACGAAAACCGTAAGAACGAAGGTCTTTTGCATATAATCTCTCATCACCTTAAACATGTAACCATTTGATTTAATTGTATTTTTGATAAAAACGTCAGATCAGGACAAGCTCGACGGAATGCTCTCTGAAGACCTCGAGGATGGCATCCCAGAGCGAACCACCGTCATCCTGACGAGAAAGCGGCGAGTGGATATCGACCGTCGGTTCAGCGCGGAAGAGGATATCTCGTGTCCAGGATCGTGAACCAAGGTGTCGTCGCGCGACCTCATGCGCTCGCCATTCGAGAACAAATGGAGTTCGAGCGTCGTATCCTCCACGAAGGCAATCATTCAACGCATCCAGACTCCTCCCGAAGTATCCCGTGGGTCCATGGATAGCCTCGCCCATGGCCAGAAAGAAGGAGGGGTAGTCGATGATGTGTTCCCCTTCCAATGTATAGCGTTGGTCTGGAGGAGGAGCTGCTGTGGGACGTCGACCAAGGAGACAGCAGGCATCGAGCCACGCATGTTTCCCTGCGTAGTCGAGAGATGACCATTGGTTGTGCTCTCGAGGCCAGTGCCTGGCCCACTGCTCGAGGATGGTCAAAGTGTATGCATCCGTCTCATTGAAGAAATCAGTGAGAATCAGAACCTCTCGGGAAAAGCAGGTCACGAGGTGCACGTCTTCGAGACTCCACGAAATCAATGCGTGGTCGTCTTGATTTTGAAGACTGAGCGTGAGGTTTTGCTTTGATTCACGAGGAAGAGAGCGAGAGAGCTCCCCTTGCTCGAGCCATATTTGAAGGAAAGGTGTGTTTTGGAAAATGCACTCCAGGCTTCCATCCAAACCTGTTGCAAATCGAAACTCCCCCAGGTCACCATTTTCATCCGAGAGTCGGTAGGTCACAGCGATTCCTTCAGGCTCTTTCAGTCGGCAAAACCTGGGGCCAACTATAAGCCAGCCTTGCTCTACAACATGTTCATAATAAAGCTATTTTTGTCTTCACAGCACAGCGTATGTTTTCTAATTAACCAGCGCGCTGTCATAGACTCGCATACCAACTTCACAGCGCGTATCGCTAGCCCAGGCTGCTCTTCGTTTGTTTTACTGCTGGTTCAAGTCACTTGGCCAAACGTGATCGGGCTCTCTGGAAAGAGCTCGCCATGAGGATGACGAAAGGTATTGTCCCAGGCCAGGGCTGGTGGAGGAGACAAAAACTCACGGATAAACCCGACGTCGAAGCCTGCATCGAGCAGGTAGCGATGTGCGCTGGGAGAATCCAGTGAAGTTGGCGCGAAGCCGTCTTCGAGCAACCGACGTGCGAGGTCTTTGCTCGCGTGACCTCGCGTATCAAGCTGCTCGATTATCTTATCCGTCAGGTCGAACCAATCGTAAGTGCTGTAGTGATCGAGGGAGAGCACATCTCGTGAGTCGATCCACTTTAGCCAAGCGACGATTGCTTTCGCGAGCGTCTCGGATTCATCCGTGAGCACTCCATACGTCAAGCACGCGGCGAGCTCTTCCTGGCGCTGAGGGAGTTCGTTTCGAGACAGCTTCGAGGCAAGTTTGACGCCGCAGACTTCAGCGACAAACCGTTTGTAGAGGTTTGCTGAAAAGTCCTGGCTGTCGTCTGTGTTCAGGTAGGCTTCCACCCATTCTGGGGTCGATATCATCAAGTGTTTCTCTTCTTCGTTCGAGCAGGCTGAGCTACTGCTCCAGATGTTCAGCCCACGTGATACTTACTTCAGGGCATGCGTTCTGGCACTGGCAGACTCGATGAGCATTATCCTGGCAGGCAACCCACTCATCGTTTGTCGCGTACATCGAGCTAAACTCGTAGGCGACTGTCGGGTTTTGTGCTCGAGAACGCGCCACCACAAAATATGGCGCAGCGGGAACATCCTCGCCAAACGTGCAGAACCCTCTGGTTCCCTCACAGGCACACTCTCCGTCCTGGTCGAGGATCGTGCCTTGAAGGACAAACCAACCGCATGAAGTGCCCTTCTCCTCGAGGCAGGAGGGTTCATCCAGATGCTCCACGCATTTCGCCGCGCTCCTCGTGCCCATGTCACGAGCTGGCATATCTGGCGAAGCATCAAACGTCTCGGTTGAATCATTGTTGCTTTCATCACCAGCAGATAACGCACACGATGACATAACCAACCCAAAGAGAGTGATTGTGGCGTAAAGACATAAGTTTATTTTCATAAAATGATCGGTGTTTTTAGTTTGATTTTATTTGTACATTTTTGACTATGTATTGCAACATTTTTACCGAACAGAGGTTAACGAGTCATTGGCCTCGCGAGCTTGTCATTCGACCGGATCTCGAATCTGTTCATGTTGTAGAAGCAACAGATCGATGGCTCTCAGCGCAGCGAGGGCAGAGATGCCGAGTTCAATGGTGGATGAAGGTCCTCGAGGCTCTCCGAGGTTGACGCGGATCAGCGGAGTTCCATAGGCGCGTGCGTAGCGCTCGAACTGAAAGCGAACATTCGGGACGGTTGTTCCTGCGCCGAGCTCGATGACGGCGATCGCTTTCCCCTTCTGTTGATTGAGCCAGGTGGTCATCCGGTTTTCCTGCTCCCGTGTGGCATCTCCGATCCACCGCTCGTCCCGAAACATAAGTACATTGGGGCGAGCGAGCGCGTCGCAGTGAGGACAGCGCGGAGGAGGTGAAAGAAGCTCGAGGGAGGCCTCATCCAGCTCCAGATCGTTCAGATCCGCTGTCCACGTCTCGCGACAGCACGGAACGGAGCACTGGAGCACATGATCGAAACCGTGAATCTCGGTGATGCGGGTTGGATCAAAGCCAACCCGCTCGAAGTAACGGTCGATATTGGAGGTGTAGACCCAGCTTGTTTGCTTGGAGTCCGCCCAGCGTTTGAGGATGTGATATCCCTGGTGGGGTTCATGTTGTTGGAAGAGGCGCTGGCGGTGAAGAACGAAACCCCAGGATATGACCGGGTCTTGTTCGAACCAGGTGCCTGAGGAGAGGTCGACGTAGTTTAAACCCAACGCGCGAGCCGGAGGATAGCTCTTCCAGAATCCGTTCTTGCTGCGAAAGTCTGGCACTCCCGAGTCCACGCTCATGCCTGCGCCCGCGCCGATCAACAAGACCTCGGCGCTCGAGATGATATTGGCCGCTCGAACGAGAGACTCTTGATGTGTTTCTAACAGCCATGGCTGAGGCGTGACATCCCCCTCTTCGATCATTTTCGACCCCTCAGATCTTGTCTGCAATGTGACCCTTTCGAGCTAACCAGCGAGCGGGTGCATTTGCGCCGTCGATATCACTCGAAGCTACAGCATTAATGTAGCACAACGATGGAGTTGTGGGCGAGTCTGCGTTTAGCGAGTTGCCGGGTGTGAGCAAACGCAATGTTCAAAAAGTAGATTCGCTGGTCTGTGGCTCTGGCCTGGCGCAGCTCGAAGTCTCCCAGGAACGCATCACTGAACCGGGCGGCCCCAGTATCCAACCCACACCGCGAAAATCGAACGCGGTCTGAGTTTCATGAAGTACCGAACCACCCTCGAGGTTGAGATCTTGTAAGCACCCAACCACAGGTTGATAGGAAGGCGTGACGTACTGGATGGCCGAGAGTGCTTCCATGACGAGCTTGTTTCGCGAGAACCGAGCCGCCTTCAAGTCACAGGTCATGGCTCGAAGACATTGCTCTGGAGCGCATTCACAGTGAAAGCCTGTCAGATCGAAGCTCACCCATTCACATGATGCTTGCAGATTGGAGAGGATACTCGCTGGTCGCCCGGCAACCAAAAGCCATTGATTATCATGGTTTTGTAATACTGTGACGCCAGAAGCAGCGAGCTTTCGCATCGATGTCTCGAGCGCGACCGTTGAAGCAGACTGTTGGATGCCGATCGTGGCAACCCAACGCGCTTCTGCAAATGCGACTTCTTTGTCCTCGATAGATGCCCAGATGGGGCCTGTATTCTGAGTCCCCGGAAATGAAGCCAGCAAGAAGACGTGTGGTGCGAGAGGAGTGAGAAGGTGTGAGAATGGAGGAGGATACAGGCCCCCTATCTACTGTCCGGGGCCTGATTCTCCTCCATTCGAGACAACTTTATCGCCCTCGAGCACGACGACCACGCTGGAGACAGAACATGAGCACTGAATTACCTGACGAGATCAAGCGATGGACGGCAAAGCGCCGCACTGCCCTGGTTCTCGAGATCCTGCGCGGAGAAACCACGGTCAATGAGGCCGCGCGCAAGCATGACCTCAAGCCCTCGGATATCGAGCACTGGAAGGAGACCTTCCTGGCCGCTGGAGAGAATGGTCTCAAGAGCAGACCCAAGGAGGAGCTCGAGCGCAAGGACGCCGAGATCAAGAAGCTCAAACAGAAGGTCGGCGAGCTGGTCATGGACATCGACATCCTCAAGGACGTGCAGGAGCGAGCCAAAGCCGACCCTTTTACCTCAGGATGGAACTTGGACGATTGAAACAGCTCCATCCTGACCTCTCCGAGCGCCGCTTGTGCGAACTGCTCGGCATCAATCGCTCCACGGTCTGGAGAAAGAAGACCGGCAAAACCGCAAAGGTCATCGACCTGGCGAAAGCCAAGCGCGAGAAGGAGCTGACGGCCAGGATTCACGCGCTGGTCAAGACGCACCCGAGCTGGGGATATCGCAGGATCTGGGCGTGGCTCAGGCATCGCGACAAGCTGCTCATCAACAACAAGCGTGTGCGTCGCATCATGCGTGAGAACAACTGGCAAGCTCGCAAGATCATCCGCACGCCGAGGCCGCGTGTGCAGGAGAGGAAGTCGGTGTCCAGTCAGCCAAACGAGCGCTGGGCCATAGACGCGACGAGCTTGTGGAGCGAAGAGGACGGCTGGATAGGCGTGATGGCGGTGATCGACTGCTGTACGCGGGAGATCGTGGGTTTCGACATCGCCAAGCGAGGAAGGGCGGTCGAGGCAGAAAGAGCGTTGGAGCAAGGGTGTCTGGAGCAGTTCGGGCTGGTGTATCCCAAGGGAGAAGCGAGGCCGATGCTGCGTAGTGATAACGGGAAGGTGTTCACCTCCAAGAGGTTCGTGGCGAGGTGCAAGCAGTATGGCCTCGAGCAAGAATTCACGACGCCGTACAGCCCGCAGCAGAATGGGATGATCGAGCGCTTCTTCCGGTCACTCAAGGAGGAGTGCGTCTGGCTCTACAACTTCAAGTCCTTCAAGGAGGCCAAGGAGACTATCAGCACTTGGATCGACTTCTACAACAACCAGCGCCCTCACCAGGCGCTCGGGTATCTATCACCCGCTGAGCGACGCGCTCAGTATCAACTAAACGTGGCTTGATCTTCGGGGCGCACTACACCTGTAGCAAACGAGCTGGAGCACGCTTGGAAGTCCAATGAATCCGAGCTTTTTCTATGATGCGAAGACGAGGTTGATGTCGAAGGCTGCATGGTAGTTGGCGTGCCAGAGGAGCTGCTACAAGCGCACAGCAATGGAATCAGCGCCACGACCGGCGTGATTTGTCTCATGCTTGATCCCTTCTAATCTCTTGCTGTTATTTCAACTTTTTTGCAGCCTCGTATACGAATCGATATTCATTTAATCTAAAGCATAATATTTCAACTGACAGGATGTCTTGCTCATTCGAGAGATTCCGGCCAGCATACAGTCGTTTATATCCTTTATCATCGCAGCTCAACGCTCTTCCACACAAACGCCGGCATAGCAAACCTGCATCGAGGGGCACGACGAAGAATCATCGCATCGCGCTCCATCTTGACAGGCATTCATGACACAAGGCTTTCCGTCGTCACAGGCATCATCCGAATCACATTCAAATGCCACAGATTGGCTGCTGCTAAAACCAGTTACCCAACAGCCGTTATCGGCCAATGTTGGCGGAGGATCATCGAAAAACTCTGCGCATCCGACAATCACGCTGCACGTATCTCGATCGCAAACTGCTCCCCTGACACACTGATCATCCATGTCGCAAGGTTGCCCCGGAGCGAGCAAATCCGGTTCATCCATGTCCACGAGATCGGGAGCGGCATCAAGAGGTGCATCTTTTGCCATATCTTCCGCGATTGCCATATCCTTCTCGGCCATATCGAATGGCATATCCGACAAATCATCCTGTGCATCTGGTTCCCCTTCTGTTAAAGGCTCGCCGGAGCAACCGACACAAACGAGGATGATGCCAATCAAACTGATGACATGCGATAATTTCACCAAAATTATGACTCCTTTATTGTGAATATTGAATGTGCTCTTCACATCATTATTATATCACACAAGACAACGTATATAGCCGCGCTTTTTCAGCAGTTCTACGAATCATCTCGCCGACCCGAGGCCACACGACAGAAGCTATCTGCCCTATCCAACGCGAGCGTTGAAAACAGCGCCTGGTCCTCGCGAGAGGTCGTACCGCGAGGGAGAAGATGGCGGAAAGGCATACGCCGTATTGCCGCCGAGGATCGTATCACCTCAAGGTTTGCCATAGCCGAGAAACGGTGAGCAGAAGAGGCTGTCGATGGACTCGAACTCCTTGTTCAGCGAGGAGTCAAAATCATAGCCGACGACTTTGGAATCACAGGTAACGCGAGGAGTAAACTCGGTCTGCCCACGGACCGTGATAAGCGTGGACTCATCCACGGGTTGGCCTTCGAGGAACCGCCTGAACTGTGCATCGGGAGCAAACGTCATCTCGAAGTCGAGCCGGTATTCAAAGGGCGCCTGGCCCGAGAGCAGCTCGAGCGAGGTCTTCCCTTCGAGCATCGTATAGGTCTTTCCCTCATGTTCCAGGCTCCCTTCGTACCAGTGCAGCAGATCAGGTTCGCCAATCTGCTGAGCTCTAAAAGCCATTGTCTTGGTCAAGGGCTGATCGCACTTCTCCATGTAGGAGAACCTGACCACAGAGTCGCCACTGCTCATCTCGAGCATCAGGCCTGTCGTCCACTCGAACTGGCTACACGGTACCGGATTGGTCGGCCTTGCCTGTTGTCGCTGGGGTTGTTTTGCGAAGAACGGCTGGTTTGATGCGGGCTGGCGCGGTGTTTGAAGCGTCGAGGTTACTGACCTCGAAGACGATTCGTTCGCAAAGATCAACGTCTTCCCGGGGGTGGCCTTCCACGCTGTGGGTTGCGCGTTGGATACACGAGGCATCGCCATGAACGACAGGAGCGCGAGCAGATGAATATGATGTTTACCGAATCGCAATTCAGATCCCGTTCAATATGTCGCTGTGCAACCCCTTCGGACTAACCTGCGCGCCCGAATCCTGGCAGCAGGCTATCGCAGAAAGCTACTCACTGTAGCATATCACAGGTCGGAAGACACCGGCGAGTCTGCGTTTAGCGAGTTATCAGGCAGAGGTCGCGCCGGGATAAAGCTGAGTCATTGTGCATAGTCTCGCATGATGATGGGGACATATGCCGAGTCAGGAAAGGTCTCGAGCAGTTCTTTTCGTAGCAAGCGAGCACGGTCGTGATCACCCAACTCGTCATGGACGAGGCTCGCGTAGAAAAGCGCATCGTCGCGGTCTCTGAAGTCAGGAAGCTCCAAGACCTGTTGGTAGGCTTCGAGCGCCTTGGTGAGGTAGCGCTCCGACCTTTTGTAGTCTTTTGCCGCTGTTGCCCAACACACGCTCGACTCGGACAGCGGGGCGTCTCGTTCATTGAGTGCCACACACTGCCGTTGTTGCTCACAAGAGAGGTAGAGGCGGTATAGTGACGCCTCGAAGGACACCTTTGCGAGGTTGAAGAGAAACTCGGGACGGTCCGGATGGTCGAGAGGCGTGATGCTCAAGTGCTTTTCCAGCCTCTCGGGTGTTGGAGGATCACCCAACGTCTTTGTCGGTTTGGGGCGTCGTCTACGTTCCTCACAATTCCACGCTTCACAGATCTTCTCACATCGTGCGTCAGCGATGAACGGACCTGAAGGAATCGGTGGTTCGGATACAGATGGCGCTGTCACTTTCGAGGGTGAGTTCATCTCGGATTTGGTCTCAGGTTCTCCTGCGCAAGCACATGAGACAAGGATGGCAAACAGCGTGCACGCAGCTGTGATCGTGCGTCTGAGATGTTGACCTTGTTGCAAGGTCATCGTGAACTCCTCTGGCTCATCTCGACTGCCCGTGGGCCTCATTTATCGAAACCTACTTTGCTAATCTGCGGACCCGAATCCTGGTTTCACATCGTATCAAACACATGTGCATCTTTGAACAGATGAGCGAAGGGCGTGGACGAGCTTGGTTCAGCGGGTTGTTAGGCCGATTTGTATCCACTTCAGTTTGGGGTCAGGCACGCCAATCAAGCGTCGGGAAGCCGAGAAACCAGGGTGCGAATCTCATCAACAATATCACCCAGGCCAAGTTCGAACCGTGAGGGTGGCAACTCGATGACAGGTCGAGGAATCTCATCGACGAGCAATATCTCCGTATTGAATCCGAATCCAATGAATCTGCGTTCCAAGGTCTCGAGGTTCCAACGCTGCCCTGTAAGGAACGGTTCGCTGTATCTTGTGAGTTTCCGAGCATCAGCGATCGACAAGCCGCACCACTTTCGCAGCTGAAGGGTTGCCTTGTGATCGTGGCCTTCAAACGATGTTTTGAGAACCCAGTGTTTGCCATCAGCCAAGCGATTGTCGCGAATCACTCGGAGGGAGGTGGAGATATCAGCGCCACTGCTCAAGTGTTGGACTTCAGCGGTCTGCACATCGATAAGGTAACTCCCTGAACCAGTCAGGAGAGGTTGACCTGGCTCTTGTCTCAATGAAACGAACCAAAAATCACCCTCTTCGAGTAAGTTGGCGTCCCATCCTTGTGAACTGAAGCCTGCCTCGTCGCAGTAGCTCTTAAATACTTTGAGCGCTTCGCTCTTTGATGAACATGCTTGCATCTGCCTCTCAACGTAATCGATGTTATCTCATACGTTCGGTATCGACCTACCCTTTTGAGCTAACCTGCGAGCCAATGCACCAGCTGCATCGTGACCTCGAAGGCATCTACGAGAGCATAGCAAAACGCTAAAATGCAGGCGAGTCGGGTTCAGCGAGTTGTTATGCTGGCAGTGTTTGGTAGCCATGGTTGGGTTCTGAACTCACTCAGAATCAACAGAGCGAAACCATTGGTGGAGTTTGGCAGTGAGTTTGCCTTGTTGAGAAAGGAGCTTTTGCGCGATTGTCTGAGGTTCATCGGGGAGTTGTCTGACCGAATGTAGCGAGGATGTGGCCCATTCATGCATCCAGTGTGAAAAGGAGTGCTCGAGGAAGAGGAGAGGACACCCATCGCTGTAGCTCCAAAGCGAGCCAGAATGAGGACCATTGAGAACGAGGAGATACTGATGGGCGCAACCTTCGGTCGCGATCTCAAGTGTTCCAGGAATGTGCTCCAAGTCTTCGAAACACTCGTCTTCCAGGCGTTGATAGCTCACGGGAGAATCACGGGTTGAAAAAGGAAAGGGGAGACGCGCTTCGGGGTAGATATGGAGTACGTCGAATGCGCTCAACCCATAGCCAGGACCAGGCCCCGTTTGGACAGGAGAGTCGTGAGTAATGTGTGGACTTCCATTTCCAACCTCGAGGAGGTGCTCGCGATACTCGCATGGCAGGCGGATACCGTGGGTCTTCTCGAAGTCTTTGAGTGCTTCCTCGACCAATGGAGGGCCGTACTCGTGCTGGTGCCTGGATGAACCTTGGACAATGCGGCGCTTGTCTGCTGCCTTCAGTTCTTCCAGTAGCCTTTTGAAACCCTCAGATATTCTTTTCTCCCTTCGTCCTGCCAGCATAACCTTATTAAGCTAACCTGCGAGCCCATGTTTCGACGTGGGAGCATGCATCGAAGGCTATCTGCCTTATCATAGCACAGTGGCCAAGAATTGGGCGAGCCTGGTTCAGCGAGTTGTTATACCTCAGCGTGGGATAGGCGAGACCATGTGAAGTTTGAATTACTTGAGTGACATAAGATTCATTCAGGAGCACAAAAACCGCTCCAGTCATCATATGTGCCCACCCTTACAGAAGCCTCG